GATGGGCCCCAAATCTTCAGGTATCACTTCATGAGTGTACACATCAAACAGGGCCGCATCATAAGAACTAAGTTTTCTTAGATTACAGTTTATAATTGAATGCTAGCTCACAATTCATTCAGATATCTAATTTACATATATATATCCCTGGGCCACTGTAGAGGTAGCATTATCGATTCCTGGAAAATATTATGATTTGCATACAGGAGACATCTGGAAAATATATTAATCATATCCTTTATCTAGCCAATGGCATAAAATTTTAAATGCTACTGTACAAAGGAATATATACATATATCAGAATGTTTATTAGAATAAAATACATGGAATGTTCACTTATATTGGTTAAAAACTTAAGTAACTGACACTACTTAAGAAAATGAGGAGGGTTAGACAAGGTGAAATGTTGATAATGCTCATTCAGTAAGCCAAAACCATACCTGCAAAACTAGTATATGTCAGATAAAACAAACAAAATATGGAAATGGAAATATATGTTGGTCTTAGATTTCCATTTCTTGGACAATCTCGAGAGCAAGATTTTTGACTCAGAGTCCAGTGATTTCAATCTATCTTCTTTTGAAGTTTTCTATATTATTCAATATTTCCTCCCATTGAATCCTTTACTTTTGCAACTTGGGGCAAAGTTATTTTCTTCAGCTTGAGATATCCTGAGTGTGCTCTTTGCTTTGTTCTCCAACTCCAGGGTTCTGCATGCTTCACTAGAATGCTTTACTTTCTCTTCTCGAGCTGCCCTTTGAAGTGTTCTGTTCTTCTAGCATCATTTCTTCAATTTGCTCTAAGTTCAAGGGAAAGGATTGGAGTCTCTTCTGACAGAAACTTTGGTCTTTAGTTCTTCCATATCTTTTGAATAACCTTTTATTTTCTTTTTGTCATCCCACAGCTCATCTGTTCATTAGTGTATAATATGTCTAATCTGTGTTTTAGATGGTCCCTGAATTCCAGTGGGATGTCTCAAAGTTGCATGTTGGCTCTCATGGACTTGTTTAATTTTCTTCAGCTTCAACAGGAACTTACCTGTGAGCAATTGATGGCAAAAGCCACAGTTAGCCCTTGTCTTTATTTGGCTGATGATATTAAGCTTCTCCGTCATCTCTTCCCATGGATGTAGTCAATCTTATTCCTGTGTATTACATCTCATGTGGTCCATGTGTGCATTTACTGTTTATATTATTGGAAAACGGTATTTGCAATGACGAAGTAGTTCATCTTGCAAAATTCTATCCAGCTACCTCCAGCTTTGTTGCTTCATTTCTATCATGAAGGCCATATTTTCCAACTATTTAACTTCCTTCTTTGTTTCTAATATTCACATTCTAAGCATGAGTAATTATCACTGAATCATGAGTGCATGTTTGATCAATTTCAGATGAAAGAAGTTGGTAGAATTTTTCTATTTCTTTACCTTTGGTTTAAGCGAATGGCGCATAATTTGAATAGGTGTATAGATATACTGTCACAAAGACATTGCAATTTAAGATCGATCTTGAAATGTTATTTTTGATGATGAGTGACATTTTCTTTAACTTATCATTCCTATCATAGTAAAGGAGCCCTGATGGTGTAGTGGTTATGTGCTGGGCTGTGATCCACGGGGCTGGCAGTTCTAAACCACTAGCAGCTCCAATGGAGAAAGATTGGGCTTTCTACTCTGCTAAACAGTTACAGTTTCAGAAACTCACAGGGGGTTGCTATGAGTCAGCATTGATTCGACGACAGTGAGTTTGTTTAGAACATAGTAAACCATAGGATTGTCATCTTCAAAACGGTCAACACAATTCCATTTTAGCTCATTAATGCGTAGGATATCCATCTTTGTGTGTTTCCATTCATTTGATGACCCCCAATTCTCCTACCTTCATACATCATACATTCCAGATTCCAGTTATTAATGGATGTTTGCAATTGTTCCTTCTCGTGTTGAGTCACCAGTGAAGATCCCTAAAACTCTGCTCCAGTCTCCTTATTAGGTGGGGACTCAGATTCAAGGCAGTAGCTTTGGTCCCCTGGGGAGCTCCTTTTCCTCCACTGAACCAGACTGTGTTCAGCTACCCTTCAGGAGGCTTTCTGTGGCTAATCTTTCAGGGGGTATTGCTTAGCCCACTTCCTAGTCTGCTCTGGCTTAGGGAGTTTTACTGAAACCTGTTCATCATGTTGGTATTTGAAGTAATGATGGTACAGCTTCTAGCATCCTAGCGACATGTAACCCCCTGAAGTATGAGAAACTAACAGATGAGTGGGGCTGTTTGCATCGGTGGTGTCATCAGGATGTGATTAATGTTGTAGTGTGAAAGAATGTCCTCTTTTCGATATTCTGGCATATAATTAGATAGATGGTACTGACAAGTTACTTTAAGTTGTTGTTGTTTTGGTTAAGCAGAGAATTATTGTCAGACTAGTTAATTGACTCTTAGGACTATGCTCAAAGAATTGAAAACAATGACACAAACAGACAGGTGTACCCCATGTTTATGGAAACATCATTCACAATAACTAAAGGTAGAAGCAACCCAAATGCATGAACCAAATACTGAGTAAACAAAATATGGTATATATGTATAATGTGGTTAGGTACATACAATGGAAATGTTACTCAGCTGCCAGAAGAAGCCAGCTCCTAGCACAATCACTACGGGTTCGGTAGGCGCAATTGTACAGCAATAATAAGTAAATATTATAGTAAAGTCATAGAGAGCATGAGAGATAAAAGAGATAGATAGAAATAAATGGAGTCAGACACATTTCATTGTAGCATTGCTCACCTCAGCCCCGCTTGGTAATCCACGTGGAGAGAGAGAGAATTTTAATGCTCCCCGAGCTTTTATACTCTCTGGGGACGTTCAAGCCCCCACATTACAGGCGAAGACATACGTCACAGGAAAGGGTTGTGCTACAGGTATTACAGTGATGGGAGGGGGTGATCTAGGGACATACATGCTATAGGAAGAGGAGGGACAGCCGGTTTGGCCTGTCCCTGGCCCAACTGATAGAGACCATT